GACTTCAAGCTGGGTGGGGGTGCACGCCTGTAATCCCAGCACCCGGGAGGCTGAGGCAGGAGGATCACTGTGAGTTTGAGACCAGCCTGGGCTACCCAGTGAGTTCCAGAGCAGTCTGAACTACATAGTGAGACCCTCTCTCAAAATGAATAAATAAATAAAAGTAGACTTCGAAATCCAGCTCCAATTCATGATGCTTTGGTCATGATGTTAATGATATTTATCAATCCAAGCCAATATGCTTGATATACATCCATTTGACTATGAATCTTCATTATTTTGCTATGCTTGGCAATTGGTTGACCAAAAACACACAACCAATAAAAGTGGTTAGAACCAGGCTAGGTATAATACCACCTATCTGTAATCCCAGCACTCTGGGAGGCTGAGGTGGGAAGATTGCAAATTTGAACCCAGCCTAGGCAATTTAGCTACTTAGAAAGACCCTGTCTCAAAATTAAAAACTAAAAAATGCACTGGAGATGTAGCTCAGTGCAAAGGCCTTGGCTTTAATCCCCAGTACAGTGGGCCCTTGACTTATTAACTAAGTTCATTCCTGAGGGCTGTCTGTAACTCAAGTTGGTCATTGAAGGCTCAGGCTCCTACACAGCCTTCAAAGCCTCTCTCCTATATACAGGCAGATCTAAGTGTCATTAGAAAGACACTGGCCCAAGATTTCTCAGTTAACCCCACACAGGAAAGGATGCTGTAATATTCCTTCCAGAACTCTGTATGGGTTAAATCTGTATCTGGAAGCACAAGTGGCCAGCATTCAGGGTTATAACTCAAGACTGTGTATGTTGAAACTAAAGTTCTGGTCATAACTCAAGTTGTTTGTAGGTCAGATTGTTCATAAATTAAGGATCCATTGTACTACAATTTAAAAGAAAAAGTAGTTAAGAATGGAGATCCCAGCTGGGTGTGATGGTACACACCTATAATCCCAGCACTCAGGAGGCCAAGGCAGGAGGATTGCTGCAATTTCAAGACCAGCCTGGGCTACACAGTGAGTTCCAGAGCAGTCTGAACTACATAGTGAGACCCTGTCTCAAAAAACAGAAAAACTGTATATATTTTTTTAATTAAAAAAAGAAGAGAGATCCTGGCCCAGTGTGCCTAAAACCTGAGACAGTACTCCTGTCTCTTCACAGCGCTCCCTCTTTTCTCTTATAAATGGCGTATGGTAGCTTTACAGCTGCCCTGAGAAAAGGAAACCACACATTCAGCCAAGTAAAGAAGGCTGCTTCCAGAGTTAGTGCAGTATCTGTGGTGCCGCTGCGGCATGTGCTGTCTCCCTCCCCACAGTGGGGAAGTGTGTTGGCTCACTGGGGCTGGAAGGACAGCATGGAAATCTACAGCACTAAGAAAACTCTCCTTTCTGACCGAGGAAATACATAGTCTAAAGCCAAAGTTGATCGCCAGCAGGTACCTCTTCAGTTTGATTATTTACAGACTTGGAATAATGGTTTCTGCCCTTGGACAGATCTCCCTCCACTCTGAAGACGAATTTATTGAGCAATCTATGTGTCAAGGGCAGCACCAGAGATTGAAGATACAAAGACAGATGAGGCAGACTGTGGGCAGTACAGTACTGGCAGGAGGCTTGACGTGTAGATTAGTGGGACAGATGGAGACAGTAGAAGTGGACCCGCCTATAATTAATTGTTTTAATAAGAAGGCAAGACAGTCTTTTGGGGGAAGGATAGTCTTTTCTACAGGTAGAGTGAAACAACTGGAAATGGGGAGAAAATGAACCTCAACTTTTTGGGGGCATACAGGCAACCACTGGATCGCGAGGAACGCTAAACCGGGAAGGGGCACAAAGGAATGTTTGGTGGTGATGGAAATGCTCTATCTTGCTTATTGTGGTAGTTACACAAGTGTATACATTTGTCAAAACATTAAATGTATACCTAAAATGGGCATATTATGTTGAATGTAAATAAAAGCACAGTAAAGTTGATTTTTTTAAGAGAAACCATATTATATACAATTCTCTTCTTTAAAATTTCCCAATGAAAATTAGTCTTTCTTCTGTGTTGTTGTTGAACTTGAAGAAGAAAAAGAAAAAGACATTCTTATTATATAGCCCAGGCTGGCTTCCAGCTTATCATACTCCCGCCTTAGCTTCCTAAGTTCTGGGGTTATAGGCATGTACCACCACTCTCAGCCCCACTGAATATTAGATACGACCCAAACTCTCCTTAGTCTGGTGTGCAAATCCCTAGATGATCTGGATTTGTGTCCTTCTCTGACCAATTCTGTAACACTTCTCGTTTCCTCACCCTGGATTGATTGTTTTTTTGTTCCTTCTTCCTGGGAAACTCTTCTCCCAGGTCTTGGCCTTGCTGGTCCTGGCTGAGGGGCCATGCCAGTAAAGTCTTTCTGACTGCTGAACTCAGCACTTAGCCCATCATGGTGTGTTCATCAAGGCGTGCGTCTGTAGTTGAAATCCTAATTTATATGTGTACTTTTCGTTGTCTGCTCCATGAGATCAGAAGCTCTACCTGACATGAAAGATCTTTCTTGTCTACTCTTGTAAACCTTTTTGACTGAATAAAAAGGTAAGGAATTCGGATTTCATAATGTAGGCATTGAAGAAACAGTGAAGGTTGCCAAGTAAAGGAATGGTACCATAGTTTGAGTCATGGAGTGGTTATTTTACCAGAAGTTGTAAGAATTGGACGTGGACATGGAGAAATACTGACGTCAGACAGATCATGCAGAAGACTGCTGCTTGATTTCTGGTAAGACAAGGTTGCAAGGATGAAACAGATCTAAGTAATATTTATCAAGTGAGACCACCAGCATGTGATTACTGCCATTCTGGGAGAGTAGGACAGTGTTTGAATTGAGGATATTCCCACGTGTACCTGCATAGATGGTAGAGCCCTGAGCTGAAAAGTAAGGGATTCAAGAAATGTCATTTTTTGCAGATAAGATAAGGAATTTGGTTGTGAAATGTTAAATTTAAATTGTCTGAAGAACATCCAAGTTGGTAACAGGAAAGAGTCAGGTCTGAGGATTTGGGAGTCATTACTTAGGTTGTAGGTGGGAACAAAGGCATAGAAGGAAATCTTAGAAAGAGCTGTGTGTGAAAATAGAAGAGGGCCAACGACCAAACTAGGAGTTAATTTTAAGGAGTGTGAAGAGGAAATTGGGAGAGATAGAGTGTGGAAACCATGGAAAGAATTTTGAGAAAGAATCATTAATAATATCAGTCACCATAAATATTTGGTAAGAGGTAGACAAAAACTAGGCAACGAATGATTGGTGCTTTCAACAAGAGCTGTTCGGAAAAGAGCAGGTGAAATATAGAAATTTTGGGCATAAGAAATATGGGGTACAAGATGCTTTCCAAAAAGTGGGAAGATGAATAGAGAGAACTCATGCGTCTAGCCTTATCAGGAGAAGGGTGATCTTTCTTGTTTTGTTTTGAGAAGGTAAGAATGCTTTTGGGCTAAGATGGTTGACTTGCAAGACTGTAAAGATGTCTGCAAACATTACAGAAAGAGAATGCAGAACGGAGCACTGCTAAACAGTGTGCCAGAGTCACTGAGGGCTGAAGTTCACTCCATTTTGGCAATAATGACATCATTGTATGATTCTCTTCAGTCGTGTACCAGCCTCTAGGTGTGGGAGACAGGATAAATGATTGACTTGATTAGGATTGACTACTGACAGAGTAAAGGTAGCACAAGGACAAGGAGTGAGAATATTGGGGTTTGTAATCTATATGGTTCGGTCTAGACTGAGAGAGAAATGAAACATGCAGATAAGGGGTGGGGAGGGAAACGAAGACTAGGGAAAATGAAAGGGATAAAAACCCAGTGAGGGGAGTGAGAGACATGGAAGAATGTTTGATTGCAGTTAAATGTGGTTTACTTAAAACTTCAGAATTCCTTGAACTTTAGAATTTGGAGACGGAGTGTAGCCATAGGGTTAGTTGGTAAAACAGAGGAGAGAGGAATTAGTGAAGGTTAGATCTTTGGACATTGAAATGTAGCCACCCCAATGTCACCTCACCATCCTGATGATGTTTTCCAGCTTCTGGGAGGCAGATGAAGATGGAAATGAGGGAATTCAGTGAGTGGATAGGAGTCAAGCGATAACAGTTACCATAGCATAGAGAGATACTGTGAAGCTGTTAGGATCATGGGTAGGGGAAAAGAGTGTCCTGGAAATCATAATATGGAGTTACAAGAATATCCGACTGATTCTGGAAAAATCCTTCCAAATGCTGACAGAGCCTAAGCTAGGACCAGTGAAGTAGACCAGAGTTCATGTTTCCTGGAAGAAAAGAGGTGAGAGACACCTCCAAGGAGCACTCCGAATATTCACAAAGAAGACAAGTGATGGCATAGAAAGAGAACTTGTGATGTTAAGGAAAAGAAGCCAAATCAATTTTGAACTCTGAGCAGGTGACATCAATTTAACAATGACAAATGTATGAGCTTATGTTTTCATAGCAAAAATTAACAAAGTTCTGTTGTGGTTTTTGTGAAAAATATCAACATTGGAACACCTTCTGAACTTGTCTGGGTTTGTATTTCAGACAATTTGCTAGCATTTTACAAATAGTATCTTTAAAGCATAAAAGCTAATACTTACATGTGCATGGTTTTTATTTTTTAACAGATTCTCAACCAAGTACCAACTCTGTGGATCAAGGACAGATTTGTCCCATGGCCTGCTCTGAATAGTGTGTTGTCGGATAGAAGATTCCATTGGCAAACCAGCTGTTGCCTTACAGAGCAAGCAAAGAAGATGGACCTGTTGAAGAGCCATCTGACAGCGTGCTTTCTACCTTCTGTGCCCTTTTTAATCTTAGTGTCCACTCTAGCGAGTGCTAAGAGTGTGGCTAACAGCACTTTAAATGGCACTGACGTGGTGTTGGGCTCTGTGCCTGTAATCATTGCCAGAACTGACCATATCATAGTCAAGGAAGGGAACAGTGCCTTGATTAATTGCAGTGTCTATGGCATCCCAAACCCACAGTTTAAGTGGTATAATTCTGTTGGCAAACTGCTGAAAGAAGAGGAGGATGAGAAGGAGAGAGGAGGAGGTAGGTTATAAAATTGTGTCAAATGTCATAAGATATAAAGAGGGATTTGTGAGGCAGCACCCATAATGTTCATTGTTCTCGTGGAAGTCATTTAAAGACCCTATTTTTGTCTCTCCCCCCCAAAGGTGAAAAGAATATATATCATTAAGGATTCAAAGTACTAATTAATTCATTTTTTTTCAGTCATTGACTTGGAAGACAAAGGGCACACATTGAAGTCTTTTTAAGGGCCTCTTGGAGTTTTCTAATATAACCCATTCAGAATATACAGTCTCAAATGTAAAATGGCTTTTCCCAGAAGCATGTGTTCTGCTTATAAGGGAGTTTGTTTTCTTTCATGGAAATGACTTAAATAAACAGTGTAGCAGTTGTTTATCATAAATGTCAGTTTAATTCATCCACCTTGGATTTAAAGAGCACACTTTTTAGGAGAAGTCCCTGTGCAGATTCTCAACCACCAGCTGGGATCATTCTGAGCTCCTGGAGACCTGGCTGAAGTTTCCAGACTGAAGCCTGGAGGGAGGGAAGATGCAATAGTAAGAAATGACACGGGTAATAGGAGAATGCAGTAGGGTTTGTAATGAGTGAGTTTCCAAACAGAAAGTATGAATTGCTGTCCCGACCCTTGAGCTTCCTGCAGGAGAGACTCCAGATAGAAAGAGTTCTGGGACGTTAGCAATCAGTACCCTTCTTGTTTTAGATGGAAGCAATAATTGTCTGGAAACCTATGGCCAATCTGATTGACCTGAAGAAGTTAATCTGTTTTCTCCAGCATTTTACTGTGTGATGAAGTAGGACATGGGGGTGGGAGAGTACAGAGACCATTGTTCTGAACTAGCAGCTATTCAGTTCTTTCCTTCCCATTACCCTCCCCATTCCTTAACCCTTTAACCAGTGAACAATCCCCAGAAGAGTTTCTGCTTCTGTAAAACCTACAGTTCTGATCCCTTTCCCTCCTTTTAACTTAATTGCTTAGAAAAAGCACAGAGGCTAATGCTCCATACCTCCTTAGGAGCCACGTGAATGGAGTTTTCTCTTAGTAACATACTTCTGGGTCACAGTGTTCACAGTGGTGAAGGCTGGTGGAGGTCTTCAGCCTGGAATGTGGGTGTTCACTTGAGTACTGTCACCGATGGAGCTCTTGCTTAGCCCCCAAGGTTGTACAGTATAATAAAGCTTCTCTTTTAAGCATAACCTAGGCTGTGAATCATATGTGTATTTAACCTAGAATAGAAATTGTTCCCCACCAAGTAAAAATGGAGGACCATAAATTAGTAGGGACTTTATGGTCACTATAATTCAGATCCCCCTGTACTGAAATTTCTTCCAGGTTCTGCTTCAAATTAAGTGGCTATGACTAGAACCTTCACTACTGACAGCAGAGAGATAACACCACTTCTAGCCCACATTGTTCTCATTCCTCTGTGACTCAAAGCCAGAAGGATATGATGTCACACTTGTGACAGGAGGGAAGTAGCCATGGTAACACACACATACTCAGGCCCCTGCACCTTATCAAGTCTTTCCACGGGATGCTGCTAGGGATAACAGGTTGACTGATATGAGGGGAATGCACACTCCAGACCTGAGTCTTTCACATGGACCCTGAAGCCAAGGTCAATCCTGGGTATTACAGATGTAGGTCTGGGGCTATGAACTGCTGAGTCTTACAAAGAAAGAAACCATGGAAACAGCAGAGTGTTGAGGCCTAAATTTCATCACAGCATTTTGAACATTATCCCAAATGGGAATTATGCAGTAGCTTAATTGAAAAGCTCTTTGTAACTTTCACTGGGTCATGGCAGGTAGATACCGTACCTTGCCTTTTCCATCTGTATATTGAAAGGGTTGAATTATATAGTTGTCATATTTGTCTTCATTCTTTTGTTTCTTTTTTTGGTACCAGGGATCGAACTCGGGTCCTTGCACTTGTGAGGAAGGTGGCAGAACAGCTGAGCTAAATCCCCGGCTGTCTTTATTTCTTTTGTGTGCAGATGCTTTCGGTGGTCCACAGTAGTGGTCATCAATAAATTCCAGGTTTCCTCGTAGCTATTTGAAAGCCCTTGGTACACAGAACAGCTATGTCAGGATGCATGTAGCCTGGCCTCATGTAGCCAGCAGCCTCACTGATAAATCAGTTAACTATTTTAAATCTCCTAAAGAAGATGCACTTACAATTTTTAAAAATAACTCATGATACTAGTACTTGATGTTCCAGCTCAGCTTTTGTAATATTGTAATTACTATATGTTGTACATAATGTCATTTCAGAGCTTAAGTAAAACAAGGAAATACACAAAGTATTGCGCCTAACAATTGAGCAATACATAGAAAATAGCAGAGACGAGAGAGTCCTCATCATAAAATATTAGAACTTTTGTGCTTTTGTGGCCTATTAGTCTAATAGTCTAACTTCTCATTTCTGATGGAATTTTATAACACAGGCATAGATTTCAATTTTCAAACCCATAGGCTAGAAGAATGGAGCAGTGTTTCATTTATAACTTGACAAGTGGTTAAATGTAGGATGAAAACTGATGCTAATATCCTAGAACTGTGATGGTGAACCTTTCAGAGCTTTCAATCATACAGCCAGCCCCCCGCGGCAAGTATGCTGTAAGTTCTCCACCATTGTCCTAGAACCTTACCTAAATACCCTAGGACTACTGCTAACACCAAACCAACAAAATTAAAATAACCTTCATTAACAAATACTACCATTTATTAAGCCCTCGTACCAAATTTCAGGTATTATTTCTAACCCTTACGTAAACCATCAATGGGGTATTATCAGTTCTTACATATACAAATGAGAAAGCAGATAAATGGACAGGATATTAAACAGCTAGAGATGGCCAGCTGGTATTGATTCTCCCTTTGTGCCCATCCAGCATCAGCTTATCCTTAAGAACTTAGTAAGAAAGAAAAGTTGACCAGCATCTCACCCAGCCTGTGTGAAAGTGGAAGAGACCTTGGACAGAGAAAGCATCACAGCCACCACCTTCCAAGTTTAGACAGTTAGGATTGGTGCTGCAGCATGTCTGCACACTCACCACGCATGTATATGCACACACAAGAACACACACACAAAGACACTCAGAATATCGGATATGCTGCTTGTGGAGCATACTGTCGTTTGCCACATGATTAGCCTAGAAAAAAAAAATTCTGTTTCTTGTTTATCTTGAAAAAGTGAGATAGCTATTATTCATGCCAGCCCCACTGGTCTTAGAAAGAATGGGGCTATTTCCTGCCATTGGTAGGAGAAGCAGCTGGTTTACTTGGCTTCCCTAGGACTTGTCACTTCAATTCCATAGGATCAGAAGAGGCTAAGTGAAATCTAGAAATGGAAACTGGATTTTTTCTTCTTTTGCAGTTCACTGAAGAACCTGTTTGAGGCAGTCCATCAACCATATCACAGAAATAATGCAGGATATAAATATGATGACTACAATCACAAAAATGAACTGTCTTAGATTTTCCTTTTCCTAGGAGTGACTAGATATTAAGAGTGGTCAGGAAGTATTTTGGGAAAAAAAATTGTTTTTGGCTTCTTACTGTGACTTCAAACCATTTAAATTCACATTAGTGCTTTTATCAGATAATAAGAAGTATTTCATGAAAATCAACTGGTATGGGCCCTTGAAAAACATATCTTGCTTGTCAGAGATTATGTTTGAAATACTTCCTTTAAATTAGGTTTCTGGCTTTTAGGTGGATTTGTTTTCCATAATACTTTTAGTATCTTGTCACCGAAAGGAGTTAAGTAAGAAGGGGCAGGGGATTTAGCTCAGTGGCGCCACTGCCTGCCAAGTTCGATCCCTGGTACCACAAAAAAAAGAAAGAAAAAAAAAGGAGTTAAGAATATTTTTAAATAAATATATGCATAAGTAAACTGAGCTGAGTTGCATAAAGGTCACAATGCTCAAGACTACTCCTCTAGCGTGTTGGAATTCATTATTGCAAAATTTGCCTGAAGTTTACATTACTGTTTATTTTGTTGGGTTTTTTGTTTTTTGTTTTTTGTTTTGGTACCAGGGATTGAACTCAGGACCTTGCGCTTGCAAGGCAGGTGGCTGAACCACTGAGCTAAATCCCCAGCCCCTACATTACTGTTTTGTAAATTTTTAATTGGTGATGAAAAAATGTAATTAGTTCTCCAAGGGACAACAAGCCAACCATATTTTAAGACTGTAGTTTATCATCTCCCTACTTTATGTGTATGTATGTGTGTAGGTCAGTTCCCAAGGATTAAATGAAAATTATCCTTTACCTCCGAAAGCAGTGTGAAATAGTACATCAATCAATGAGAAATAGTGTAGTGAATTCTTCATTTAGTATATTAAATATTTGAGATTAAAAAAACTTGTCAAAAGACATTAAGCAAAATTTGTACACACACACACACATATATGGAAATTCAGAAAACACATAATATATTCTTTGAGCAAGTCCCTTGAGTTTTCTGAAATAGTTTCTTATCTGTAAAATAGAGATAGTTCTTTTTTTTTTATTGCCAAGTGGGGTTGTGAATCTTGAAAAAAAACTATCATCAGTTAAATTCTTAGCATAATACCTAGAACATGCCAAGGACACAAAAAATGGAAAACTGCTATTACTGTTTTTCATATTGTACTATTCCTCATAATAATAGATTTCAAATGCTAAAATCCTGTTTCTTGATATAGTAATGTTTTGTAAAGAAAAGTTGTATGAGTAATTTCTTATTTTCTGTTTCTCTACCTTTTAAAAACTTTTAATAAATAAAAGACAATTAATGTCCCTTACATCTTACTCAAAATTTCAAGATGTTATGAGTGCTATGGTAGCAGGTTTGGAATTTTCTCTTCCCTCAAAAGCCTCCCTTGTTCAGTTTGTCACTTTTGAATAGAAAGGGCCCTTTGATATCCAGTTATGCTTTTACCCCTGAAAAGGCAAGTATGTGGAAATTGTAAAGAATATTATGCACTGGACAAACTTTGCATTTGCCTAACCCTGCA